CACACACACACACAAAAGTTCAATATTAAAATCCTGAAGACACCCCATCCACTATGATTATTTCACCTCCTCCTACTCCTATCACCCTCCTTCTACCTCCTCCCATCACACTCCTCCTCCTACGTCCTCTCCTCCTCTTATTTTCTCTCCATCTACGATCCTCCTCCTCGTATCTTCCTCCTTCCATCACCATAATCCTCCTCTTACCTCTTCTTCTCTAACAAACACCCTCCATCTCCTCCAACCAATACCCTCCTCCTCATTACTCCCCTCCTCCAACTAATACCCTCCTCCTCTTACCACTTCTTCTCCAACAAATACCCTCCTCCTCCTCCAACCTCCTCTCCTCTAACCAATACTCTCCTCCTTCATCTATCCTCATCTTCTCCTCCGACCAACACTCTCCTCCTCCTACCTCCTCTCCTCCCAGCCCCAGCCTGGGTGCGGGTGGCATCTCGGAGGCTGGCACAGGGTCAGTGCTGTAGTGGTTGAGGAGGACCTTGGTGGACCCCTGCTCCCTCTCCTTGTACTCCTCCGCCTCCCAGCCTTTCACCTGGGCGGGGCAACCACAGCGTGCAAACAGACAGAGACACAGAAACAAACATGTCATGCTGTTACTAACTAGTTCATGCAAAAACGCAGTACTTGGGGAAGGGGGTACCCAAAATGATAGGCAGCACATTTTTCAAATTTAAAAAGTTGCACTTTCCTTTATTAATGAATTGATCAATTTCATGTAGATAAATGAGGGTACAGTGCATCTTTTTTCACACAATGAGTCTTGGATAACCAAGCTCTTCACCATGCCGTTACAGAAAAACGGCATCTAGCTTGGAAAACTAAACAGATGCGCACACACACACACACACGAACACCCAAAAAAATTTGTTTTTTATCTGCTGCATCACAACTTTAAATGTTAGAACAACTACAGATGAAACATCTACGTGCAGCAAATCATGCTTTCTTGACCCTTGACCTGACAGCACAGTGCCAGTCACAATCACCATTATCAGGACTTGACCAACAACATCACTTCACGCCACATACAGACTGATACAGAAGTAAGAGGAAAAAACACCCCCATGACCTACCCCCCCCCCCTTCCCTCCTCCCATACCAGCTTTTAGAAAGCTATTAGTATCTAGTTTTAGTAAGTGTTTTATTGGCACTTGCAAAACAATTATGGCACTTGCAAAACAATTAGAACTAGGTCTGGGTCAAATAAGTGCCAAAGATTAGAGGTATTGTTTAGTTTCAGTAAAGGTTTTACGGCGCTCGCAACTGCATAAGGTCATATGAGCGTCAGAAGATAAGAGGTGTTACAAGAGAGTAACAAACATAAAAAAGAAAGAGGGGAGATAAGGACGATAGGTGTTTGATAGGAAAGAAGAAGCAAACCACACCAGAGCACCCGCCAACCACCCACGATTAGAGGTATTACAAGAGAGTAACAAACACAAAAATGAAGGAAGAGAAGATAATTACGACAGACGTTTGATAGGAAAGAAAGAGTAAACCACATCAGAGCACCCGCCAACCGCCTGCAGAAAGTTAGTATAAAGACAGCATGAAAAAGTCAAGAACAAGGAGGTAGTACAGAACTAAGAGACTTAAGGTTTTAAAAAGTTTTAGTCACAAAATGTAGACACTGGTAACACAATAAGGTCATATAAGTGCCAAAGATTAAAATAACAAACACAAAAATGAAGGAGGAGAGATAAGTACAATAGATGTTTGTGATAGGAAAGAAGGAGCAGAGCAAACCTCACTGGAGCACCTGTCAAACACCTAAAGAACGTTTCAGAAAGTTCACAAGCTCAGTTGGGGTAATTCAACATTGTACAGCACATGGAGCCTACTTTCTGGACTACAATAAGGTTGGACCCAATTTCCAACGACAGGTAGCGCATGCCACATCCCAGGGGTCACAGTTTTGTCTTACAGAAACAGGTAACAAACAGCTGAATCATGACGATGTCCAAAGACACTGTTGATTTTTGTCAACCTAACCATTTAAAAATAGTGATTCCCATATCTAAGTTCTGATTTATTCAAAAAATAATCAGTTTCACTTAGATTTTTTCACACAAGTAGGGTAACTAATCAGGCTTTCGATTTAGCAAATAACAAATTTTTGTACCAAAATGAAAAAATGCCTTTTGTCAGCTTACCTTGGCTCCTGGGCGTGGAGAAATTTCCAAGTTTCCGTAATTCTCCATGAGGTTTCTCATATTCCCTCCCTTGCTGCCCACGGCATTGGCTTCGGCCTCGCCCTTCACCGCCCGTGGATGTACGCTCCTCTCCACCGCAGGGTTGGCGTAACCCTTCATGTTGTCCGACATACTCCCCCTGTTCTTCATGGCGTTGTCGCGGGCTGCGTCGGATCGCAGGCGGGCTTCGGGTTTGGGTGCTGTCAGCCCGTTCTCGTGGGAGAACCAGTTGGCCGACTTGGCGTTGCGCTCGTAGTACTCCCGGCCCTCTTGGTGGACTCTGGGGTTCCCGGCCAGGGGCTCGTCGGTGCAAGGAGAGCTGAACTCGTTCATACTACTCATGATGATTAGATGATTTTTACTTTTCGAGATAATCTCCCTTCTCAAAAGAGCAGCGTAGTAAGCGTGGAGTCTTGTCGTTTTCTGAGGTAACTGAGGTGAGCACGTTCTCTTTTCTTGCTGTTGTTATGAGATGGAGGAGAGCTGAAAGAAAATAAAGAGAAAATCAACAATAAAGCTTTATGATTTGCAATACAGCTTGATGTTTTTGTTTTGTAGTTGTTGTTTTTTAAGGGGAGGGGGTGTCATGGATAAAGAGTAAGAGAAGCAAATCAACACAATAATAGCCACTCAAAGCACCTGAAAAAAGCAAAACAAGTGCACAGAAATAAACAAAAAAAAGAGATGGAGAGAAAAGAAATAGGACCAAATAGTGGTGCCCTCCCAATACCTATGGTACACAATTTCTTTTCAAAGAGTGATTTATTGCAGAGAGAAAGAAACAGACAAACAAACTGAGAGAGAGAGAGAGAGAGAGAGAGAGAGAGAGAGAGAGAGAGAGAGAGAGGGAGAGAGAGAAACAAAGAAACAGAGAGAGAGAGAGGGAAGAGAGAGAGGGAGAAGGAGAGAGACAGAGAGACAGACAGACAGACAGACAGACATAGAGAGATAGAAAGGGAAAGAGGCAGATGAGATAAATGAGCAGACTACCATACACAAATTTTAGAGGCTCCCTACAATACGGGCAAAAGTACCAAACATCTCTCGCCCGTCTTCAACCCTTTGAGACACACGCAGTAACATACCTGGCATGAACTGACAAAAAGAAAAGCGCTGAAGAAAACCGGATCAAGGAATTGCTCTTCTAAGGCTCAGACAGTCCAGGTTCGAATCACAAGCAACAGCACGTGCGTCTCTAGCATGATACAGATGTCTGGTCAGTGACAAGTGGGGAAGCACCTGTGGGTGGACCAACACGGTATTAAATAACAGCTCAGCAGGAGAGAACTAGACCGACATAATTACAAAATTATGTCATTTATTATTATTATCAAAATGACACGACTTCTTCAGTTTTAGTAAGAGTTTTATGGCACTTGAAACAATAAGGTCACATAAGTGCCCAAGATCAGAGGTGTTAGTTTAAGTAAGAGTTTTACGGCACTTGCAACACAACAAGACATATAAGTGCCGAAGATTAGAGGTGTTTCGAGAGAGCAACAAACACAAAATAGAAGGAGGGGAGATAAGGACGATAGATGTTTGATAGGAAAGAAGGAGCAAACCACCCCAGAGCACCCGCCAACCACCCACATCCAGACTTCACTTCAGTTTGGTTTGAGAAAAGGTATCTAAAGTAAGAGGAAACAAAAATTTGGTGTTTTTTCCCCCCAGCTGACACAAGTTGAATCATTCAGTACGACGGCTTGGACACTCCTGTAAGTTTGTTTGTTGTTTTTGTAGTGTTTTACGGCGCTCGCAACTGCATAAGGTCATATGAGCGCGCGGGACACACCTAATATTTTCAGTTGGTAGGAAATTTTGAATTTTGCCCAGGTGGCGGCCGAAGCCTACTCTTATCGATTTTAGACCAAGGGATCTTTAACGTGCACAACTTGCACATGGGCCCTCCGAGATTTTTCGCCCTTGTCCGAGAAGGCTAGGTGTAGATCTTTCCTACCAGAAGATCAGGGGTGTGGCAGAAAGACAGCAGTTAGGAGGAGCCAAAGAGTAGCAGTAGAAAGGCTGCAGAAAGAGTCAGGAGCCAAGAGGAGGGGGCAAAGGAGGTGAGGGGGTGGGGGCAGAAAGTGGAAATGAAAGCAGACGACAGAACATTGCTAGAGAGTAGGAAAGGAGGTGAAATTTCAGAGAAGAAAATTTTTCGGTTGTTACCCGAATGAGAGGCCAACATCTTATCCTCTAGGCCACGAGAGCCCCCTCCCTCCTGCAAGTGCCAACCCAGGTTGAGAGAAAAAACAAAATACTGGATAAAACTTCTCTCTTCTGTATGCTTTTGCTTGTTTGTTTGTTTGTTTGTTTGAGTAAAGGGACACAAGGGTGGTGATTTAGTGCAGGGAAAAAGTAAGAAAGACTGACAGAAACAAAAGACGGAAAGTAAAGAAGTAGGACCTACTAGTGGCGCCCTCCAACCACAAGCTCTCTTCTGCGAGCAACAGCGAACCGAAGTACTGAACACTACAGACGCTGATGAGCAAAGAAGCATCTCTAGTATTTTTATTTCCTTCGGTGTTCACAAAGGAGAGAGAAAAAAAAAACCTCGGCACAACAACGGACATTTTGGTACAGGTAGAGAACCACAAGACAAGACACAGCCCATCCATAACCCCTTTAACCCCAAGCTAAATACCCATTCTCGTTCTATACATCATACATGTATCTGTATTATTAACAATTTTATGGCACTTGTAACACAATAAGGACATATAAGTGCCGAAGATTAGAGGTGTTATAAAAGAGTAAAAAACACAAAAAAGGAGAGAAAAGGACAATAGATGTTTGGCAGGATATTAGAAGGAGCAAACCACACCAGAACATCCGCCAACCGCCAACATTAAAAAAAACAACCCAACAACTGCAAAGGTAAAGCTGGGGTGTCCATTCAGTGCTTATTTGACCTACTACGCACGTCCTTCCCTCACCCCTCCCCTCTCGTCCCCCCCCCTCTCTCTCTCTCTCTCTCTCTGGCCAACCTCTCTCTCTCCTATCACCCCCTCCCCCCCCCCTCTCTCTCTCTCACCCCCCCTCCCTTTTTCTCTCTCTCGCCAACATAAAGGAACACGATTTTCACTCCATTTAAAAACGGGAGAGCAAATAAGTGCTCGGGTTTAACGCCCCTTTCAACACCGTTAACGCACTCTAAGGGGTGCGATCTCAAAAGTTCACGGGCGGAGAGCCTTAAAAACTCCACACAAAAAAGAAAAAAAAAGATCTTCTTGAGGATTCGAACCAAGACCAATCACTCCGTAAGAGAAAAAAAGACGATAAAAAGAAGAATTTTTCCCAAACCACTAAACAACTGCATTCGTCCTTGAGACGGATGATTCACCCGGCGGAGAAGACTAGCAATAAAGAGACTTCTATCTCCCACACACACAAAGGGCAACACGATATATGCAAATACCATCGACTTGTACGCCTAGATGGTGCGCCGTCATGACCTCTGCTCCTAGCTCTTTCAGATAAAATAAACAAATTAATTAATTATTATTTTTGGTTTAACTTCCGCGAGCATCGAGCGCACAATGCGCCAAATACTCCCAAATGAGCTTAACATTATCAGTGTTTAAATTACTGTTCATTTATATTATGCACATGGCTGTGATCCTGTTTGTGAGTGCAAGCATAGTATTATATTATTATGGTTATGTGCAAAGATCTATGTGTGGAAGAAAGGATGTGTGAGGGAAGAGTGCGTGCACGTGTGTGTGTGTGTGTGTGTGTGTGTGTGTGTGTGTGTGTGTGTGTGTGTGTGTGTGTGTGTGTGTGAGAGAGAGAGAGAGAGAGAGAGAGAGAGAGAGAGAGTGTGTGTGTGTGTGTGTATGTGTGTGTGTGTGAGAGAGAGAGAGAGTGTGTGTGTATGGGTGTGCACACACGCGCGCACACACACACACGGAGAGACCGGGAAATTATGTACCACTGGGACCACCGGACCGACCACACATGACACCACCTGCTCGTATGCTCTACATACATGATCTCTGGTAGCGTTTTAGTTTTAGTGAGAATTTTGCGGCACTTGCAACACAACAGGTCATATTATAAGTGCTGAAAATTAGAGGTATTACAAGAGAGTAACAAACTCAAAAAAGAAGGAGGGGAGATAAGGATGATAGATGTTGGATAAGAAAGAAGGAGCAAATCACATCAGAGCACCCGCCAACCACCCACTTTGGTTGCGATAGTCGGGGTGAAGTTGTTTACTTATTTCAATTGAGAAGATCACAAACCAATTAACGGTCACTTTGAGCTGGGAAAAACACGACGGAGAGATACAATAAATTAAGAGAGAGGAAAAAAACCGATAAGAAACACATCTACACGATAGTTATCATTTATAACTTGTTTACTTTCGTCTGTCCACATTAAAAACATTCTACGAGGGACGTCCAGAAAGTAAGTACCGTTTTAAAATAATTATAAAAGAAATACATTTCCCAATCAAAAGGATTTATTTTTTAATATCTCATACATATGACTACTTCTCCGCGTAGTCACCGGAACTGTTGAGGCTTTTGTCGTAGCGCGGGAAGAGCTTCTGAATGCCCTTGTCGTGGAAAGCTGCCGTCTGCGATGTCAGCCAATGTCCAGTCTCTCCTGTGAGATCAGCGTCTGAGTCGAAGTCCTGCCAGGCCAAAAAAATTTTTAATGCAGGAACAGATGAAAGTCACTCGGAGCCAGGTCTGGGCTGTACGATGGGTGCTTCAACTGTTCCCATCTCAAGGAGGCGATCAGGTATTGGGTCTGTGCAGACTTGTGAGGAGTTGCTTTGTCGTGAAGCAGAACAACGCCGTCGTTAAACATTCCGCGTCTTTGGTTTGAATCGTTCGCGAGATATTCAAAAATAATTCGTTTTGATTGGGAACATTATTTCTTTTATAATTATTTTAAAACGGTACTTACTTTCTGGACGACCCTCATGGTACATCCCTGAATTTGCTAATATGCATGTAATTTTGCAAATAGATCAACTTTTGAATATTTTATCTGTACACTGTAAATTCCAAATTACACACGTAATCTCCAGGCCCACTTTAGGCTAACATCAAAGAATACATGTTGGAACCGTAATTTATTACCTTTATTAATGGGCTTTTTTGTTTAATTCTGTTGGTCATCCAACTTTAAGACCCGCCTGGAAAGACCAGAGGGTTTTTTGGGTGTTTTTTTTTAATTTTAATCGTGGACATGCGAAACTGAACAAGCTATAAAACAGTGCTGTTTTGAATTAAATAAAAATACATTGACAACAAAGTGACCCATTAAGTGCTAGAGAAAAGCAACACGTGCAGACAGAAACAACACAGGGAGAAATAACAATTGGTAAGACCTATCAGTGGCGCCTTCCAAGAACCCTCAACGAACTCATAAAACTTGTAAGAGAGCTTCAAGTCAGATGAGAAGCACGGCTATACAATAATGGCCATTCAGTCGTACGCGGAGAATAGCAAGACAGATGGACAAACTGAAAGGAAAGAAGAGACAGTAGAGATGTAGGACCTACTGGGGGCACACTGTAACCAACCACCCACGAGGTGGTCATAAAACGTTTAAGGTCACAGCTGACACGTATTAGTAAGTGTGCGTTAAGTCCAAGAGCACCAAAAGTGCTCTTCTTCGCCGGTGTCTACGGTGTTGTGGTTTGACGCTTCGCTGTCGCACGCAGAAGGTCTGGGTCGTAGTTTTCGTATAAAAGAGTTTTACGGCACTTGCAACACAATAAGGTCATGTAAGTGCAGAAGAATAGATGTGTTACAAGAGAGAGTAACATATACACAAAAAAGGAGGAGAGATAGGAAAGAAGGAGCAAACCACACCAGAGCACCCACCAACCACCCACTGGGTTCAATTCCCGTGTGTGGAGAAGTTTCATTGAGCATCTTCCGTTTTTCTTCTGGGACTTTGTGTCCCTCTCAGCCCGGGTAGGCCGTGACAGGCAGGGTCGAAGCCCGCCTCCTAAATGATCGAAATTTTATCGATAGGGAGGTAATACACCACTTCAAACTGTTTCCCCTTCTTCTTCTTAAGTTTTAGTAATTTTTTTACGGCACTCGCAGCACAATAAGGTCATATAAGTTTAGTTTTAGTAAGAGTTTTAAGGCACTTGCAACACAATAAGGTCATGCAAGTGTCGAAGAATAGATTATGTGTTACAAGAGAGCAACATACACTTGTACAAAAAAGAAGGAGGGGAGATAAAGACGACAGATGTTCGATAGGAA